AATTTGAATATATATATATATATATATATATATATATATATATATATATATATATATATATATATATATATATATATATATATATATATATCGATTCGTGATCGTGTTGAAATCCTTAAATCTAATCGAATCAATACATAATTTAAATGTAATAAGAGGGGATAAGTTTCTCCTCATATTTGTAGCTTTAGATGCTTTTTGGTTCATATCTAATTACAATTTTTAAAATTTTTTTTTAAACAATAATTATGCTCTACTTCAATTCTACGCCTTAATTTCACATATATCCCTAATAATATTTTATCCCTTAAAAAAGATTTGTAAAAAGAGTCTTATAACAAAAATATTGTGAGATTTAAAAAAAAAAGATTGTAAAAGTATATCACTTTTTCAATAATTTGAATATATACTATGCATAGGCTCTGATGTAATTTTGTATATTTTATTCATTAAAAATTTATTTAGGATTTTGTTTAAATACATTTGTATGCAGTTATTTATTAAAAAAATTATCTTTAAAAAAATTTCCTTAAAATGAGATCACTTTCATAAGGAAACTTTGAAAAATTATTTTTTTGAGAAACTATTTGTGAGATCCGTGTACTTCACATATTGATTAAAATAAAAGTTAAATATTAAATTGTAAGTATTAAAACATCAATAGTGTGTTTAACTCAAGATTAATGATAGAATTATCATGTCTTACTATAAAATATAAATTTGAATATAAAAAAAAAACTTTACTCATACATAGTAATACCAGTGTTTTATTTAAAATATTTATAATGAAATAATTTAGTTTGCTAATAACTTCTATTATTTTATTATTTTCAAAAAGATGTTTAAACAAATTTTATTTGGAAAATAAGAAAACAAAGAACAGAAAATCCAAGCAAAATATATATAAAAAAAAAGTATGTTCGTAGCAAAATTTTAGATCTGTATAACATATATAAATACACTGAAAAGTTTTTGAAAAAAATAGAATATATGTGAATTTGAATGATAAATAGTAGTAAAATTTTAGGTTAATAATATTGAATAAGAAAAACAAATGGAAAATTGATTTAAATGACCTTAAATGTAGGAATTAAAATTTAGAAGGAATGTATATTTTTAAATCCTCATAAATACATAATTAGGTGATATTTTTAAATATTGATAAATACAAGAAAACGACATTTTGATTTTATTAAATTCAAAAACACCATAAAATGTCAAGTATCATAATGACAAAAAAAAAAAAAAAAAAAAAACTTTCATTTATAGATGATTATTAGAGAAGATTAAAAATCCTCTTACATTTTATTTCTATTATCCTCTTACCCAAATTAAATGGTGACAAGTGGACTAAAATATTATCAACTAGTTTATAACCTGTGGAAACCACGGTTACAAAATTAATTAAACTTTGTAAGTAAACATTCAAAACTATTAATTAATTATTTTAAATAACATATTAATTAATATATACTTTTATATAAAATTAGAACTGTTGATTCAAATAAATATGTAAATTTTATTTGGATAAATTTTATTTTATTATAGTTTGTATAAAATTTATTTTATTTCTTATTCAAATGTTATTAATTTAATGTAATTAAAATGAGAAATTTAAATTTTGAATTTTGAAATTTAAAAGGAGAATCAATAGAACAAGTGGCATAATATTAATTACAAAGCTTAAAATAGTGACAGATAGTAAAAGAACTACTATTTTATTAATATAGAGATTTCATTAAATGTATTATTAAACGTAACAGATGTCAACGTTTAATATGGTAGGAAGATAAATATAAATAAAGTATAGTAGAATTTTTAATTTTTCTATTTTTATTGATATTTAATTAAATATAGAAACAGCAAAAACTTTACATTAAAAAAGGAATCGGTTGGTTTGGAATGCAATTATGGTTGTCTACTATTAAAACAATATTTAATATTTAATTGTTTAATTAGATCATTTGAATTCAATTATACAAAAAGGATATTTAGAATTTCAGATTGATTAATACTAAAACCTAATTATTAGATTTTAAATTAATTTTGGTTATCAAAATAATAACCGAATAATAATTCAATATTTATAAGATGCACCTCCGCATCCGGCACAAGAAAACCAAACGTCTCAAATGCAAATGATATGAACGCGTGTTGATTTTCCTATGCACGGTTTCTCATGTTTAGTGACCTTGCATGAAATTTGGTTTACCATACAAAAGGGCTTAGCGGCGCAACTTGTTGCTCGTTTGCTTTATCATTCGTTGTATGATGATAACTAAAATCGTATAATACTTTCTAATATATATATATATATATATATATATATATATATATATATATATATATATATATATATATATATATATATATATATCATACATACTTATAAGGCTAGCATTTTTTCTTGAATCTCATGCATTTGAAACCCCCATTCTTTTTTCCTTTCACCACATTCATTTGAAACTACCATGAACTTGTAATTTCATATAATAATAATTATAATTTGGTAATTAGGTTAAATAAATTTCAAATCTAAAGTGTATTCATATATAAACTAAATTTCAATATTAAAATAATATTTTTAATTTTACTTATAAAATTATGTTTTTTAACTTTTAACATATTATACTTAATTTATTAGTTTTAATATATTGTTGGATGTAAACCATTATCATTTTAAATGTATAATTTTTGAATAATTTTTATAAAATACTTAAATTATTAATTAAAATATAACATTATAGGCTCAACTTAAATATAAATTTTATTTAACTTAAACAACCCAAAGATTATTTTTTAAATAGTTAAAAGTGATAAATTGTAGTGTCTTTCTAATAATGATTGTAAGTTGGTTAATAAGGTTAAATAAATATCAAACCTAAAGTGTAATCATAAATAGACTAAATTTCAATTTTAAAATAATATCTTTAATTCTATTTATAAAGTTATGTCTTTAAATTTTAACATATTATACTTAATTTATTATATTTAAAATGTTGTTGCATGTAAACCATTATCAGTTTAAAACTATAATTTTTGAACAATTTTGACAAAATACTTAAATTGTTAATTTAAATATAACATTACAGTGTCAACTTAAGTATAAATTTCAGTTCCACTAAAAAAACCAAATAATATTTTGTAAATAGTTAAAAGTGATAAATTATAGTGATAAATGCAAAAACTAAATTGTAATATCAGTTTAACTAAAATATTTCCTAAATATATTTATATAATCGTTAAAAAATTTCAAATAAGTAGCTTAAAATAACTTATAATAACAATAGTTAAAAATAACTCTATATAAATGATTATATTGTTACCTTTAAAATCAAAAAATAATGTTTGATGTTTTAAATAATTATAATGATAGAAATTAAAACATTAAGCAAATAAAATTTAAAAAATTAGTTAAACATAACAACTATAAATAATATTAAACCATATATAATATTTAATTTTATTGATGTGTAACTCGCGAGTAGAAGTCATTCAAATGATTGAGATTATGACGTTATAATAAATTTATATCTTATCATATAATTAAAAATAATCAATATATTATATCAAATTAATATACGAATTATTATATCAAATTTAACAACAATATTAGTGTTATATTTTAAAAAATATATATTTGTAAAAACTTCAACTATATAGGTGTTTATGCGCATTACAATGTCAACTAAAATATAAATTTCAGTTCCATTTAAAAAAACTAAAGAATATTTTGTAAATAGTTAAAAGTGATAAATTGTAGTGATAAAAGCAAACACTAAATTGTAATTTCAATTTAACTAAAATATTTCTTAAATATATTTTTATAATCGTTAAAAGTTTTCAAATAAGTAGCTTAAAATAACTTACAATAACAATAGTTAAAAACAACTATATATAAATGATTATATTGTTAGCTTTAAAATAAAAAAACAATATTTGATGTTTTAAATAATTATAATGATAGAAATTAAAACATTAAGCAAATAAATTTTAAAAAATTAATTAACAATAAAAACAACTATATATAAAATCAAATCATATACTATATTTAATTTTATTCATGTGTAACTCGCGGGTAGAAATCATTCAAACGATTGAGATTATGAAGTTATAATATATATATATATATATATATATATATATATATATATATATATATAATCATATAATTCAAAATAATCAATATATTATACCAATTTAGTATATACAAATTATTATATCAAATTTAATAACAACGTTATTGTTATATTTAAAAAATCATATATTTGTAAAGACTTCAACTATATAGGTGTTTCTGCGCAACGCGCGGGCATTCGCCTAGTGTGTGTGTATATATATATATATATATATATATATATATATATATATATATATATATATATATATATATATATATATATATATATAATCATAGATATTTATTCATATATTACTTTATTGAATTGTTAACTATGTTGATAAAAAGCCATAATATAAAATAATATTTTTTCTGAATAATTTTTTACATATAATATAAAGTTATGATGTTATTTTATCAACATTTTTTTTTTATAAATTATCATTTTACAACTAAGTTATTTATTTTTATGTTTTTTTATTGAATCTTCCACATTAAAAGGAGATTTAATAGCATGTTTACGTAATTCAAGCCTTTTAATTCTATAGTTGTGTATTTGTGTTTTTTAGATATTCGTTTTTTAAAAAACAAATAAATAAAATGAGAAATTAAATATCCTCTTATTTTTGTTTGTAATATTTAATGAAATTTTAGTATACTAAAACATATATAATCATTTAATTTGGTAAAAGAATTTATAAAAATAAAAATAAAAGAATATTTAATTTCTCAAACAAAATAAATATAATTTCGTCATTTGGATTTTTTTGGTTAAAACTATTTATATCCAAGTTCATTTGATCGGATCGGGTGACCCGATCCATAAAAAAATAACTAGGTTATATTTGAAACGGTTATAACTGAAAACAGGATTATAACACTGAAATTCGATTAATTGAATCTCTCCAAATTGTAGAAGCAGATCTCCGATTTTAATCTTTGCGGCTTTTACAGATCGCGATTTCAACCGGTAAGAGTTCAATTTTATGGTTTTGAATCACGAAAATTTTGTTTATTTAATCTAAGCTTGAAATTTCTGGATATCTTGAACCCATTGTCATTGCATGTTTGTCTATATGATCATGCATTCATGCCAGACAAAGCAGCTGTTCTGAATTATCTTCATTGCTGTAGTTAATTAATACTCGCTGCAGCTCTGCCACGTGCTATCAAAGGTGGCAAGCATTAGCACCCCATACATACACCCTCCGACCTCAGTCTCAGCCTGAAAATTTCCTCTGTCAGAGAATCACTGAAATGAAATGAATTCGGAGAGCTTAATAGCATCGGCGGCGATCAACATAGGGCTCGCACTTGTGATCCTGTGTCTCTTCTCCGTGTTCCGGAAACAGCCTGCCAATGCCAACATATACTACCCTCGTCGTCTCGCTCTTCGCCATACGATTTCCTTCGATCATTCCTCCAACCGATTCTTTCCTTCCGTTGATTGGATCCGAGATGCTGTTAGAGTTACGGAGGACGAAATCCTTTCTACCCTCGGCCTTGATGCACTCGTTCTCATCAGATTTTTTAAACTCGGGTAATTACAAAAACTTTCATTTCCCCCTTTTTCTCTCTTACAATAATCCCTCTCTTCAATAACACGATAGATAGCTGTAGTGATTGTTTCCATGGCAAAATAACATAAATTAGGGCACTCAATACTACCGATTTTAATCTATTAGAAGTCCTGCATCAATTCAATTGACAGGATAAAGTTTTTTGTGGTATGTTCTGTTGTCGGATTGATGGTTCTTTTGCCACTCAACTATTCTGCTGTCTCCCCTGAGCTATCTTCAAGCTCGCGTTCCATGGACTCTTTCACCATTTCCAATATACCTAGAGGATCAAACAGGTATGGATTCTCATCAAAATCAAATTGTATCTTAGGGTAACAGATTATACTAATTCACCTCTTTCTGTTCCACAGGCTTTGGGTGCACTTTTCATCACTGTGCTTTATATCTTTCTTTGGAATATATCTCCTTCACAAGGTACTCATTTACTTTTCTTGATGTTGTACTTCATTTATAAAGTTAACTTTTTATTGCATTTGAATATTTTGGTGAGGTTCATAACAGGTGATGTGATCTCTAGGAATACAAGATTGTCCTTATGAAAAGAATTCAACAACTTCGTAACCTAAGGAATCAACCGAGTCAACTCACTGTTCTTGTTCGACAAGTTCCTTTATGCGATGAACACAAATCACTCAGCTGCAGTGTTGATCATTTCTTCTCCAAATACCACCCTAATGCTTATCATTCCTATCAAATTCTATATGCTGGAAACCATCTTGAGGTACTACTTATTTACATTTACTCTCACATTCACATACACAAACACAAACACAAACATGAATTTAATCTGTACTTTGTAGGAGTTGCCTGTTGCTTTTGTGACATTTCGGTCACGTTGGGATGCTGCCCTAGCTGCCCAAACACAACAACATCCAAATCCATTATTATGGATCACTCAAATGGCTCCAGAACCTAGAGATGTATTGTGGAAGAATCTTTCAATCCCTTATAAGCATTTGGTACTTTATAGAACTGGAGTAATTGTCACAGAAATTCTTTTCACTATATTCTTTGCTATTCCAGTAACTGCAGTCCAGGGAATAACACAGTTTGAAAAACTGAAAAAGTGGTTCCCTCCAGCCATGGCTGTTCAATTGATGTAAGTTTGTTTTTTTTTTTATGTATTTTCATTTTCATTTTTTTAAAATAAATTTGTGTTGCATTTCAACAGACCAGGATTGAGCTCGGTTATTACAGGATACCTTCCAAGTGTGATTCTTAGTGGATTTGTTTATGTTGTTCCTTTTGTTATGAAAGGAATGGCAAGAATAGCAGGTTATGTTTCAAGAAGTCAACAAGAGCAAAAAGCTAGCAACATGGTTTTTTATTTTTTAATGGGAAATGTTTTCTTTTTAACTGTTTTATCCGGATCTTTACTTGATCAAATTGGGAAGACTTTCATTCATCCAAAAGATGTCCCAAGTCGCCTTGCTACAGCTGTCTCTGCTCAAGTAAGTCCCATACTTTTTATATCATTTTCAAGATTTATATATTCTTAATTTCTTTTCCTATGTTCAGGCAGATTTTTTTATGACATACATTTTGGCAAGTGGGTTATCTGGTTTCTCTCTTGAGATTCTTCAACCTGGATTACTTACATGGGATGCTTTAAAAATGCGTACATGGGGTCGAGGAAAAAAGAAATCCAATTATCTTTCTTCATTTCCTTATTATAGAATTATTCCCTTTGTTTCTCTCTTTTTGCTTGTTGGCATTGTGTACTCCATCATCGCACCATTGCTTCTTCCTTTTCTAGTTGTCTACTTTCTTCTCGGCTACGTGGTATTCATCAACCAGGTTTGTTCTTTACTATAATACGCAACAAATAGCAACCTACTTTAATGTATTTGTTTGTTATAACTTATAACATCTTTTTTCATTTTGTTTGAAAAATCTACCCAGTTATAGCAATCTTTATAGTTATACTCGAATGGATTTTTGAAAGTACAATGTCTTAATACAGATGCAAGATGTGTATGAAACAACATACGAGACATGTGGGCAGTATTGGCCCCACCTTCATCACCATGTGGTGGTCGCCATCATTATCATGCAAATCACCATGATCGGTCTCTTTGGACTAAAGTCAAAACCCTCTGCATCTTTTGCGACAATACCACTCCTTGTTCTCACTATAGCTTACAATGAGTATTCCAAGTTCCGGTTTCTTCCTACATTTTACAAATGCTCTATAAAGGTATACTTGATTTTCTTGTACTGTGTTTGACGTGCATTGGACTGAGACTGAGATTGAGATTGAGATTCAACTGATGTTAATAGGACACAAATATTGTACTTTTTTTTTGCCGTAAACAAGAAGTTGGTTGGACAGGGACTCACTCTCATTCTCTTGTAATATTTTGTCTATGAAAAAGACGTTGATGCCCTAATGAATCTTGTGAATTTATTGTTGGTTAGGATGCGAAAGATAATGATGAATTTGACAAAGATGGTCCGAATGATGCTGCTTGTCGTGAAGCCATAGATGCATATCGTCCACCTTCTTTGCCTCAAGTGTGTGTTGGAATGGAAGAATCAACCTCAACGCAACCGTTATTATCATCGATTTCTTAGTTGTTTTTTTTTTCTTTCTATTTTTGGGATAGGGGCAAGGCTTGTTGGGTATGCAAGGATTTGGATGAACCTATTTTGTAGAAATGTGATGTTAATCAATTTGATTGGTTTTTGTTTGAAAAAAGGGTGTCATTCTTTGAATATGATCATGTCATTTTTAGGTTATTAGTAACTCAACTAAACATGTAAAAAAAAAATCCATACCACAAGTAGAGAGTTTAGTTCACTCATTTTGCATTGTCTAAAATGTATAAGTTAGTTTAAGAACAAAATGTCGCACATAGAACAAGTGGTATCATGTGTTCAAGGTTAGAGAGAAGAGAAGGTTCAAGAACTGATTTGAACAAACGCGCCCCAAAATGAAGGATCGCATAAAGTGTGCCCACTATGCTTGAAAGTGTTAATGTACCACACAGCGGTACGACACAGTCTTTTATGTATTTATACATGTTGGAGTCTCACTTCTTTTCATAAGGGCTCTTGTGGAGAAACAATATATATATATATATATATATATATATATATATATATATATATATATATATATATATATAAAGACACATCCTTATGTCTTTATATATGTTGAGCCCGGTCTCCCCATGATGGTTCTTTTTTAAAGACAATTTTGGACACTAGCTCTTTTTGAGAGACAATCTTAGGTTCCATATATATCCGACTAGAATCCATATTCCACATACCAACATTAGAAGCAAAAAAAAAAAAAAATTTAAAAAAATAAATAAAAAATAAAACCGAATTCCATACCTTTCGTATACACATGAACAAATCAAAGAAGTTTGGAGGTTTGGGCATCAAAACTTAGTTGGAGGCTTCAACCTTATAACCTTCCGAGTCTATCTTTTTCGGTGTTCTCCAACAACCCCATCATAACAAATCCATGACATGAGTATTAAAATTATTTAAAAACCAATGTCACAATAGAGAGAGGTTAATAGGTTATCTAGTTAGGTTTCAGCGATCGATAATCGCTAATGTCAATTTGCGATGGATCATCTTCAAGATGGTTCCATAGCCAATTAAAGCCTAACAAAAGACTTAGCGAGGGATATAACTACGGGAAGGTTTTTGCTTGCGACAAGCTTAGCGGCAAATTTTCCTTTGCGAAATTTAGGGAATTGGCTACGAAAGTTAATATGAAATCCATCGATGATCCTTCGCAAATCTTCGATATTAAAATTTTGATGTCCATTGGCCATCGTTGATCCGTGGAAAATATAATATATCTTTTTAATTTCTATTTAAACATAAAAGGCCCATAATTACATATTTTAAAAACAAAATACAACAATTATAAATTTCAAACTCCAAAATCCAAAATATTATACAATCCAACACCAAACATTAATATTTGATTACCAATACAACTAAAAACCAAGGTTGTTAATAACGTAAGGTGTGATTTGGCGGAAATGTTAAGTCTTAAACTTTTTTAAATCATAGCGAACCACGTCGTTTGTAAAGTGTGATTTAAGACGACAAGTTGTATACAATTAAGAATTATATATATATATATATATATATATATATATATATATATATTCTACTATTATTTATTTTTATATACATATTCATTTTTATATACTTAAGACGATATTTTGTCAAAGCTTGGTGGCAAGTACAAACCTTGGAGCCATGACGCGCTATAGCGAAGCTATGACGAACTTTCTAGAAAACAAATTGATGCCTATTTGACTTCAAAGTGTAATGTACCATTTCTCCAACTTTAACATCCATCTCCCCATGCATCTTCTCTTGGACACGTGCGTACACAACCTTCAATTAAAACATGACTATAAAAGGTAGACTTTGTATGTGTATAATGCCAAAATATATATCCTAAAGATTAATTTTTAACCTAAAAAAAAAAAAGCAAAGTAGAGATAAATGTGGTTTTGTCACTTTTTAATAAGCAATTGTATTGAATCATATCACTAACCCGTCTGAATCAACGTGATATTAAAAAACATAAATGTATTGTTTTTGTTATTAATTGAAGGAGGATTTTGATGGAATTGATTCATGGCTTAAATAATAGAGCTTATCCAAATTCAAACTAATCACTAGAATTAATCTAAGAAAGATTGATTAAATTTATCTAATTTTAATGAGAAATCAAATGGATGGATGAAGTGGATTGGAAAGGCAGTTTATTAGGGACAAAATTGCAAAAATGGTTATCGGTGGTATGTATTTTTTTTGGGTTTTAATCCGAAGTACAATTTTTTTTGGTTTTATAGTCCTTGCTACTTTGGTTGGGTTTTTAGTCTTTCTGTGAAATGATTTAATACCTTTGGGTTATTTATTTTTCAATTTTCTTTCATTTCTTTTTGAATCTAACATTAATATATTTAGAAAGATAATCAATTGTGTCTTCAAAATTCTCTTCTTCACTCCTAAGAATTACAAAATTAATCCTTTTTTTCAATCGTAGAAATAACCACTTACTAATCAAAATTCACAAAGTAACTAGATAAAATAAATGATCTCCAACAGTCATGTATATTCAACTCATCAATTTTCACAATTCTTCTAACAGTAGGTTCACAATTTTTCTAAAGGTAGGCATGCAATCTGTTCAATCAGGAACACAGTGATCTTATTAGAGTATTCTGAAAATACTCAATTGCACAGATCCTTTCTTCTTCCCGACAATCCCTCCACTCTTCTCCATAGTATCTAAAGCACCCAAACAACCCTTTACAATATCATTAATATATGTAAAATCAAGCTCCACAGTTCCATGATTTGAAGCTTCAAAGATTGGAATTGATTCGCTTTTAAGATATCTCGAGTGAAAAAGAAATACGCCATATCTGGTCTTCCTCAAGGTCCGTAAATAGTGAAGAATCTCAAACCAATTAACAATAAACCATATATGTGATTATAAGTGTGTGATTTTTTCACCTGCAAACACATGCTTTTTTTTGTAGCTGCGTATAAGCTTGTTGGTTGATCGGTTCGATCTTTTTCAGAAAAGGGTACTTTGTTATTTAATCTGTATCGGACATCCGCTTGAGAAGCTAAATCCAGATTACCTCCACCTACTGATCCCCATCGTTCACCATCACTGCTCACTCACCGGTGATCAAATTCAATCTCCGACGACACCAAGATGCATGATTTTTTACTTGAATATGTGAAATAAAATTGGGTGTCGAGAAGAGGGGACGGGCAAATAAGCTGTGAACAAACCATGAGAGAGAGAAAAAGAGAGAGCCCTATATTTTAATTTAATAAAAAATTAAACTACATAAAAAAGATTAAAAAATATTTCAGAAAGGCATATTAATCATTTTAGTTTGGCAAGGGATCACAACCAAAATAATCATCATCAATCCAAAAAAATCATGGTTTGGATTAAAATTCCAAAAAATTATATACCACAGAGACCATTTTTGCACTTTTGTCTTTATTATGTGAATTAATTTAGTCAAGATATATAATTTTTTCTTATACGAAGTGATGAAGACGACATGTAATGGTGTATGGTGTTAGTTTTGGATTAAGGTGTTTAAGATCATAACTAAATTGGTATATATTTGAATTGAAACATAATCATTTTTAGGTTGTCTTCGCAACTAGTAATCGAGTAATGATAACGGCTATTTTATACATATATTTTCGGCGTTTTCTTATTATTTTATACTATGTTTTTATATTATTTGGAACTAAAAGGTACTTATGATGCTTTTAATTATATTTTACAGATATAACATGTTGTTAGAGCAACAAGGAAGCAAAAAGACTGGAAAACGGAACTGAAAAGACGCAAAATGGATGTTGCTACAGATTGACCCCTCGTCAGCATTTTGGCCATATCTCATGACTCGTAACTTCTATTGACGAGATTTAAAATATTCTGAAAACTAAACAAAATTTAGGACAACTTTCGTTTTTTGAGAAAATGCTGATTCTGTAACAACCCGAAATTTATATCCTTAATTGTAACCCTTTTCGCGACTCGTTCCGATCACCCAATCGTCGTTTCCGATTTCGTTTCCGTTTCCGACCTTTTATTAAGTCGTTAATGTGAATTTTATTTTATGACTTAATAAGTGTCTTAATACCCTTAGAACTCATTCTAACGTCTCATATTAATGATTGGAACATTTTTAGAACCAACCATATCGGGTTACGGCAGTTTGGTCGGGTACGACCAAAAGCCTCGTCTAACGCCGGTATCGAGTAGAATTCTACCATGTCCCAAACTTGGACACTATTTAAAGTGACTCAAGTCTCCATTTTGAAGCTTTTGCTCCATTTTACAACTATCACTCCAACCTCTCTCCTCAAACTAGATTTTAGGGTCAAAATCTCAAGTTTAGGGCTTCAAATCACCAAGGTACCTTCCTTAACTTGTTATGCAACATCTTTAGCCCTCAAATTCGAGTTCAAACCATGGAATAGGACCATTAACATGAGTTTACGGCCCTAGAACAGTCCTAGGCCGTAAACTCACATAAAGAGGGTTTTTGGAGCAACAAAACCCCTCCTTGACAAGTTTGGGACTTAGATATGGCTAAATGGCTTCAAGATTTGGACTCTAAACATTTAAAACATGGAATTTGTGAGGTTTGAAGGAGTTTATGGCCAAGGATCATTCTTGGGCCGTAAACTCATTAAACTAGGGTTTTCATGCCCTTAAACCCTTCCAAACCACTCCTTTGTCTTAGTTATGAATTATAGAATATTGGTTTTAGCATTTGGGCACCTTAAACATAATTTTTGGGGGATTTATGTGAGTTTACGGCCAAGGCATATGCTTGGGCCGTAAACTCCTTATAGATGGGTATAAAATCAATTATAAGGTGTTAGAAAGCCATCCAACACCACCAAAAGCCTTGGAATAAATCATAGAACCAACCAAAAATAGTTTAAGGACTTTAAACACATCAAAATCCCACATTTGAGAGTTTACGGCCATAGAACATGTCTCATGGCCGTAAACTCATAAAATGGTGTCAATTGGTGCCCCAAACTCATTTCTAGGCTTGTGGGAATTTTTAGAATCACATGTGATTAATTTTAACACCTTAACAACACTTATTCTATGAGATATGTGAGTTTACGGCCATAGAACCCATGCCTAGGCCGTAAACTCCCTTAAGTGTTGTATTTGATGATTTTAATTCAATCCAAGCCTTAGTTAGAATTATTCCAAGCATTTCCAAGTGTCCATACCCATTAGTGAGCC